CTCCCGTCCGGCTGCAGAAGAAGACCGTGCCGCTGCGCTTCTCCCTCCCCGAGCTGGCCCGGCGCGTGGGCAGGCTGCGGGATCAGCAGGAGCGGGAGGCGCAGGAGGGGCTGAGGGTCCGTCGGTTCAGGGCGAAGATCAGCCCCGGGGAGAACCAGAGCGCGGAGGCGGAGCTCAACAGACAGATCAGGTACCCCGGCAGCCACACAGGGCGTCCCCAGCCAAGCTGGACAGTCGGCCTGTCCCTGGCCTGTCCCTGGCCTGTCCCTGGCCTGTCCCTGGCCTGTCCCTGGCCTGTCCCTGGCCTGTCCCTGGCCTGTCTCTGGCCTGTCTCTGGCCTGTCTCTGGCCTGTCTCTGGCCTGTCTCTGGCCTGTCTCTGGCCTGTCTCTGGCCTGTCTCTGGCCTGTCTGCGTGGGGATGGGAGCAGTTGTCGGGTCTTTTCTGGGTTTGATTGCAGTTACAGTTAGCAGAGACTTGCAGCTCACAGAAGATACTGCAAGCATTAGTCGGAGACAGGAAGGAAAGCTAAGATTTTGACATCTTACAGTCTCTCAAATGTACCATCTGATGTCTCGGAGAATCACTGTGATTGTTTTACCCCATTACGTAGCATTCTGCTGCTTTAAAAACATTTCTTTTGCCAAAAGCAAGGACATGTTTGCGAAGATGGAGATCATAGGCCAGTTTAACCTGGGGTTCATCATCACCAAGCTGGACTCGGACATCTTCATGATCGATCAGCACGCCACGGACGAGAAGTACAACTTCGAGATGCTGCAGCAGCACACTGTTCTGCAGGGACAGAGGCTCATTGTGTGAGTGATGAACTCTTCTTCTCTATCTCCATATGTGCTGTGATCAACAAGATCCATCTCAGCCAGCCAAGCTTAGGACTCTAGACATGAGTTTATAATACTATGTATAGAAATGTTTAGGAAGAATTTCAAAGCTCAAATTGACATTACTCGCAGAGCTATTTAGTTGGACCACAGCAAGAATAAAGACGAAAAACCAACGGCCCTATAATCGTGCAGAAGCCGTGCCTCCCTGGTGCATCTAATGCATTGATTTTCAGAATTTTAATTTTGCCTTAGCCCCCAGAAACTACATCTGACTGCGGTCAATGAGACCATACTGATGGAAAACTTGGAAATCTTCCGAAAGAATGGCTTCGAGTTCCTCATCGATGAGGATGGTAAGAACTGATTTGTCGTGTATTATCTGAACGCAGTCCCAGAATTCAGCTCAGTGGGCTTCTTGGCGTTTTTATGGTTTAGCCTCTGTAGTGTAGAGAGGCTATTCCTGGTACCCTGCTGTTTTTTTAGCCATTCTGTGATGTTGCAGGTTAAGGGTTTTACTTACTCAGAGTGTTTTTACTAAGTGAGCAGTAAGGCTTAGCACCTTAATTACTTAATTGCTTAATTGTAGGCAGAAAAACTTGTTTTTCTCATCTGATGCGTGTACATTTCTGATTTGTTAATGGGACCACATTGTGTTAAACGTATTATTTAATGCGTTATGTCTCCGGCCTGCCTGCGAAGCACCTTTCCCCCCTGTTACAATAAAGGGAGCACGTCAGTGCAGGTCTCCCACCTGTCCCCACAGCTCCGGCGATGGACAGGGTCAAGCTGGTCTCGCTGCCCACCAGCAAGAACTGGACCTTCGGGCCGGCGGACATCGAGGAGCTCGTCTTCATGCTGAGCGACAGCCCCGGCGTCATGTGCCGGCCGTCCCGTGTCAGACAGATGTTCGCCTCCAGGGCTTGCCGGAAATCCGTAAGAAATTCCCTGATTGAAGAAGGCCGTGTCGCTGCTTGTATTTCAATTGCAGCACGGGTTCGAAACCCTTTCTCTCTGGTCGTCCAGGCTATTGGAATAAGCAGGGAACGCTAGAGGAGACGTCTTGCCTGTTTGCCACTGCTGTTTGTTTTGTGTTCCTCCAGCCCCTCCGTCTCGCAGGTTAGAGGGTGTAACGTGCCTCTGTCGCCCCCTGCAGGTGATGATCGGCACGGCGCTCAACGCCAGTGAGATGAGGAAGCTGGTGACCCACATGGGCGAGATCGAACACCCCTGGAACTGCCCACACGGCAGGCCGACCATGAGACACCTGGCCAACCTGGACATGATCTCCCAGGACTGAGCTGCAGCTGCTGACTGCTTGAGGCTCTCTGGCCGTAATCCTGCCTGACTGAATATTTACCTTGCTGGAGCTCTGCTGGGCTGAATAATATTCTTACCTCTCGGTTCATTTAGAACAGGACCAGAGCCTGTCTGTAGCCGGACAGGCGTGGTCTAATTACTGGCTTTGCTTTCTGGCTGGCTAGCTCTTCGCTTGAGGTGTCCTCAGCTGATAGTCCAGTGTGTGGTCCTGTGCTCTCCTGAGAAACGCCAGCGGTTCTGCTTCTTTAAGGACCTGTGTTGGAGTCAGGGAGTCAGGGGACGGCACATGTCTGTGTGCCGTACGAGCCAGTTCGGATGTTGGCAACAGCACTGCCCTGCTTCAGCTTCCATCTGCCCACACCTGGGTACAGGACAACCGCCGGACACCTGCTACACGCTGGCAGACACTGCTGAGGCTGACTGGAGTTCCTCTGAGGAGGATTAGTCAGTCGTTAACTGAGCTTTAGAAGTACTTTTTTTTAAAGAAACCCACCATAAATAAGCCAGCCAGATGGAGTAAGTCAGAAAGAATGTCTGCCCTCCCTCGTTCGAATCAACAGGCAAAAAAAAATACATCCAAATGAATGGATAGAAACAATCAGTTAGTTTAACTAACGTTCGCTCCCTGTTTTTTTTACCAAACTTTACTGTACACGGTTTAATATACATTCGGTATTTGTAAATTATGTAGAATTTCTTTTAAGGTGATTTCAATTTTTGTATTCCCCTGAGTGTACAAAATGTTAATAAATATGGTTTTATTTTGTATGATACACTTCCTTTAGTTATTTGCTTTCACCCATAACACAAACTAGTTTAAGGTATTAAAACATTTGCTGAAGTATAAAAAGTATTTTCCACGATCAGATTTTAAAGACTACATTTACAGAGGGGGGTCTCCGACCTCAGCTGCAAGTTGTGAAAAGGTGGCACCGAGCTCGTTACAGCAGAGCAGTAGATAAAGCGTTTTCTTTTCCTTGCTCTCGCTTGCCGTAGTTTAAAACAAACTTCCTTAGCAACGGTGTCGCGTTGTTACGGTTGCTATGTTGCGGTACAACTGCTGATCCCCACCGGTCATAAGTGTGTGAGACTGGATTTTCACCGAAGTGCAAAAATAATACCGAAATATACGTGAGAATATTATATAAAAATGTGAGTTGAGAGTGTGGGGAAAAAAATGCTTTCCTTATTGTCTTCACATTCCTTTATTTTTCTTCTTACGAACGTATTTTATGCGGTTAGCCACTATCAACACGAATGCAAAACAATATAAATCGCAGCTCTGAACGAGGTGTGCAGGAGATGAGTTACATTTGAGGCACCTGTGCCTGTGCGGGAGTTTGTTAAATGAATGTCTGAAAGCCGCAGTCCTCACCGTCCATCTGTGTCCTGCAGCCGCCGGGGCGCCCCGATGGCGAGGGGAGACCGCAGGAAGAGGGCGGACAGGTCCCCGCTGGAGGTCTCCTTCCACCAGCTGACCGGGAGCAGCTCCAGCGTGCTGTCCGAGCCGCCGCCGCCCCCGGGGGACAGCGAGGACGGCCTGTCCTCCGCGGGGTCGCCGCCGGCCAGCACCGGCCGCGCCCCGGGACCCCCGCGACCCCCGGAGACACAGGAGGAGCCGGTCCTTCCTCAGGTCATTGTGGAGCGGTAAGGGCTGGGCGCTGAGCTTACACTGGCACAGAGTCTGTGGGAGTCTTTGTGTCTCCTGGGGTGTCCCCACATTTATTAATCTTTTAAGATATTGTCACCTTTTGTAGGTATGAAGGAGAAAAGGTCCACGGCCTCTATCACGGAGAAGGAACGGCATATTTTCAAGGGGGTCATGTCTACAAGGTAAACTGTATTTGTTTTTTAACAATATAGGATACAAAACTCGTTCGAGGATTTAAGACGGAAAAAAAAAAACCCAATGCAATAGTCTTTTTAACCGGTGGGTGTGTTGCCCGAAAGCGATTAAAATGAGCACGACTTCCTAGCAACAATAGTGTCGGCCTGTCTCTTTCCTCAAGGGCATGTTTTCAGAAGGACTGATGCACGAGCAGGGGACCTACACCTGGGCTGACGGAGTTCAATACCAGGTAAACTTCATCGTGATCGGCGCTTGGCTGGAAACATCCGCAGCCCAGAGCGCTTTAGGAGCTGTAACGGCGTGTCTGCGGACTGACGGCGCTTTCGTCTCATTGATGGCACTGACTACATTTGACCGAATATTGCATATGCAATAATGATTATATATGAGTAGTGTAAGGGCGGTAGGGTAGCGCAGCGGGGAGCATTGCTGCCTTGCAGTGCTGTCTGTGTGGAGTTTGCGTGTTCTCCCCGTGCTCCGGGGGTCCCCCTCCCACAGTCCAAAGACATGCTGGCAGCTGAACTGGCTTCTGAGACAACTGGGAGTGTGCGCGTCTGCGTCTGTGTCTGTGTTCGGGGTGTACCCCCCCCAGCCCTGAACTGGAAGAAGTGATGGATGAGAAAAGAGAGGGATTATTGGTATATGTGGTGCCTGTTGTCCTTTTGTGTGTCAGCGTTCACGGACGGTTCGCGTGGATGAGGCTCCGCTGTCTCGAGTGGACAGGATTGATATATTGTGATCGGTGACTCAGTGTCACCCCGCTGCTCCTCAGGGCGATTTCCAAGCGAACGTGCCCACGGGACACGGGGTTTACACGTGGCCCGACGGCGGCTGCTACGAGGGCCAGGTGTGGAACGGGATGCGTCACGGAGTGGGCACACACAGGTGCGGCGGCAGCACCGCCTCCTACACGGGCCGCTGGCACCTGGGCAAGCGCCACGGCAAGGTAACCCGCCCGGGACCCGTCCGGCGGCGGCGGCGGCGGGGGGGGAAAGAGGTGAAAGAAAAAATTAAAACGCACATTTCCTCATTCCGATGCGCAGTGAGCGTTTCGGAGCGATCGGACTTCTCGGTCCAGAGATTCGTGTTCGGGTTTCAGCTCAGATGTGCGTTGATTTCACATTGTGAGTGGTGGGGTGGGGCAAAGCTTTAATGTGTGTGCCCCAGAATCATGTCCACCTTTTGTACAATGTTCACTACTGCGCAAATCAGTTCGAACGCATGATCTAAATAAAAAAAACAACAACCCACGGTGACAGGTTAATTGGCTGCGTATTGGTATGGCGCACACAATTAAAACGACCCACATGGACTTAACTCACATAAACTGCAGATCGCTTTCATGTTGTTCCTGCTTGCGGTCTGTTGTAGGGAGCAATTTACTACAACGCTGAAGGAACGTCGTGGTATGAAGGAGACTGGGTGGACAACGTCAGGGAAGGCTGGGGCGTGAGATGGTATGAGTGGGGGTTTCGCTCTGCGCCGTGTCTGGGCGTCTCGGAGTGCAGCTCCAATTCCACGCCGCTTCTCCGTACAAATGAGGTCTTGTGTGTATGTAGACAAGGAGGGCTGGTCGCTGGCCTTGCGGGTGAGCGGTTGTGTTTTTATTTCTGCTGCTGCAGCTACAGCTCGGGGAATGTTTACGAGGGGCAGTGGAAGAGCAGCGCCCGGCACGGCCGGGGCACGATGAGGTGGCCGGCGCTGCGCCAGCAGTACAGCGGCCAGTGGGCAGACGGCATACAGGTAAGGGGACCCGCCTGCGAGAGAGATCCACAGGGGTGGGTGCAGTCATCTCCGTCCCCCGAGTCCCCCTAGAGAACGAAACATTTTGCCAATTTATCGGGGTACTGCATATCGCCGGACATTAAAACTATATCAATTAAAGTACTGCATGAAGACACCATAGTAAAGAGGGAGACAGTTGGATGTAACATTAGTTTAAGCCCCTGTGCAGAACCTGTGAAAGAGATCGTATTGGCATTTGGATGCCCTGCTTTTCCATGCTATTGTCTTGCCCGAAGCACAGCTGAAGCACGGGTTAGAGATCGCTCGCGATTAGAGTATTGTCTTTCTTTTGATCGGTTGTTAGGATACGTGTCCACGGGAATGGAGAGCACTGAAGACTTTTAAAACTGTCAACTTTTCCAGTTCGTGCAATCATAAAGCGCGTGAAGCAGAGGAAGATGCAGTGTGAAGTTCACGCATGTATACAGTACGTCTTTCTTTTGAAACTGCCCCCCCCGCAGCAGGGCCAGGGGACGCACACGTGGTTCCTGAAGCGCGTGCCGGGCTCGCAGTACCCCTTGCGGAATGAGTACGTGGGGGAGTTCGCGAGTGGCCTGCGCCACGGCCACGGCCGGTTCTACTACGCCAGCGGGGCGCTGTACGATGGACACTGGCAGTTCAATAAAAAACACGGCCAGGTCAGTCCGAGCCGCTCGCTACCTTTGTCGTTGTGTCATGCTGCTCGGGTTTCTGCTGGATTACTGTAGGTATTATTTTTTAAATTGTAAACATGTGGTCTTCGTGCTGCAAGTCCTTCTTTAACACCCAAACCCTCCTGCTCTGTCTCGTTTCCGATAAGGAGCAAACCAATCTTGCAGACGCTGTGATTAAAAGAAAACAGACATATCTGGCCCCGTGCCTTATACACGTTTTGACGACGCTTCGCCCGCTGCCCCTTTGTGTCCAGGGAAAGTTCGTCTTCAAGAACGGCCGGGTGTTTGAAGGCGAGTTCGTCGATGACCACATGGCCGAGTTTCCAGGCTTCTCCATGGACGGCACAAGCACCCCTGACCTCAGTGGCATCAGAACTCATACTCCCCCTTGTGGCGAAGGTGTGTAAGTGCATTTACCTCCCTGAGAGCACAACCCGCTCTTTTAACTGCGTAGGATTTCTGAAGCTTCGTAGCTGGATTTTTTTTCCTTCAAAGCAAAGGAAAAAAATGAATTAAACTCAAAATGTTTTGTTTGGGGTTCATGAATTTAGATGTTCAAGATGCATAGATGAAGGGGATGAGTGGAAGCTATCGCGACCAGTTACGGTTTTGTAAAGTGCGCTGTTGTATTTGCTGTTTCAGGCGAAAGCGTGAAGAGACCAGGCGGTGTCTCCTCTGTGCTGGGGCCTGACATGGCTCTAGACCTGCACTTTCTGCTAGAGAGGCTCCCTGCAGCAGGCCGAGACGCCGAGCGGAAACAGGTCCGTGCTCGCAGGCCTTGGGTTCACGATTCACTCACCCTTCAGGACTCACAGTGCAGCCACAGGCAAACGAATCATCCTTTTTCCAGACTCGTGAGGGCCTGTTCAAGCATGCAGTCTGATCAACAGATTTTTACCAAATAAAAATATTTCTCTCCCACATTTTATTAAGGTCTTTGGTTTCTTGTCACTTTAAATGCACCCTTTAATCCAATATGCCAGTGAGCAATACACACTCTGGGCGTTCCCCGCGTGAGGCTGAAGGCTTTGTCTGAGGCTCAGAAGCAGGTCTCTGTCAAGTGTGTTAGCTGTGTATCTAGTTTGTGGCCCCGTCTGCCTGCAGGTGGAGTTTGCCATTCTGAGGCACGTGGCGGAGCTGAGGAGGGTGTACAGCTTTTACAGCAGCCTGGGCTACGAGCACTCGCCCGACAACACCTTCCTGCTGACCCGCCTGCAGTTCTGGAGGCTGCTGAAGGACTGCAGGATCCAGCAGCGCCAGGTCACCCTGGCCCAGGCCGACCGGCTGCTCGCTGGCAAGTTCTGCTTTCTCTCTTCGGTCAGCTCAGGCAGACGGAAGAATCTCGCACTGTGTTCGGTGACGGGGCTGTCCGTCCCTTCGCCAGGCATGTGGGAGTCAGGTGCTCTGAAGCACAGGCTTTCCCCTCTTGAACTCAGACAGACCCAGTCGAGAGCAGAGGGAAACGTGAGTGAACGGAGGAGCGCGTCGGACTCCTCACCCCTCGTCTGGCTGTTTAATTGTCCAGTCAGCATATGGCACGACAACCACCTCCCTTCATTTAGATATGTTTCTGAATAAGCCTTGCAATCTTTTAAGTAAAAGGCAACTGTCCGGTGTGACCAGTCCTGTGTGATAAATTTCTTTCTCTTCCACAGAAAACAGTGCACCCGAAGAGATTCATTCCCCGTTTGACACCGTGCTTCTCAGGACATTCCTCAGTAACATAGTGGTGCTAGCCTACCACATGTACAACAAAGAGATTGAGTGAGCATCATCAATACTCAGCTGTTCTCTAAAGACTGTTCTCTGCTTCATTTTAAGCAAATTACTTCTTGCAATAGCTTTTTTGCTGTACAGTTGTAGAAACCAATTTTGATATATCACTGCGATGGTTTAAAAAGATAATGGCTTGACTTTAATAGTTATTAGTCTTGAACTCCAGGAAAGCACCTAAAATAAGCCTTACATGATACACGAAAGCAATAGAGTAAGACACCGCTCTCATTTCAGGTCACAAGGCTCTGTTTTAGCATCCTGTTTTTCAAAGTTGGTGAGAGACAACATCATTCCTCATGCAAGGAACGTGAAAGGTGAGGAAAAGAGATTGAAAGAACAGAGGCATGGAAAAACAAAGTTTGCTGTCTAGTGAGCTTCACTTTGCTTTTTTCTTCATCTCCATGACTTTAGTTTTAGCAGAAATGGCAGCATGTTTTTTTTTTATCTGGAAGAATCCTGAGTTAAATCAAATTGTAGTGTTCATGGTTCCTGCGAAAATCATTAAATTATATATTATCATAGCTACCCACCTGAACTTCTTCATTAAATTATATGTAGGTAATTTCTTCAGCAACCACCTGTGTGCTGTTGTTGCTGTGAACTACATGGAGAAGTGCTGGGAGATACACAAGGCCTACTGCAAGCAGAGCTCCAAGGCTCCCTTCGAGCCCACGATGAACATGCGGGACTTCATGTGGATGTTGAAGGTATCTGTGCATGCTGTTGCGCTGAAACAGAAATGTATGATGCATAAATCCTTACTATTCACAAGTAATGGCAAATCTTTACAAAATTGTTGTGTTGGCAAAAGGTCACTTGTGTTCTTATTTTCTTATCGTTTCTTAATTACAAATATAAGGTTCCTTTCAGCAGGTGCGCTCTGGTCTTTAGATCCTCACTGGGAATTGATAAATCACCCCCACCTTGCTTTGCTGGCAGCATGTAGTTTGCTTCCATAAGCTGCGCGTTTCTTACTCTTAAATGTATGGATGCATTGACTCTTTCGATCCAGGATCTAAATCTCTATAGTGAAGAGCTGACAACTGGGAAGGTCCTGGAGATTCTTGCTGCTGAAAGCCCTGCAGCCTACGATGGAACCTACAGTAACCTAGAACTGGAGGTGAGATGGCTGTGTGGTAACAAGTACAAGTGTCCGTAGAAAAGCAAACCGCACAAAACCTTTTCTCATGTGCATAGAATGCACTTCTCTTGATGGCAGAGCACAATTCCAGTACATCTTTCTTCCTGGATAAAGAGTGTGCTTCCTGCACAATCAGTACACCCCTTAACATCGTCTGTCACTACCTGTTCAATCAAAAGAAGTGTTTTTATCAAACCAGGTGATGAGACCTTTAAAACAAATGTGTAAAAGCCCATCCGGTTTACATCATGAAACGTAGGCATTAACATTTTGAAATAACAATGTCAGTGCTATGTACTCTGTTTTGCATCCAAAAGAGTTATAAAGGGCAGGTCACATCTATCTACAGTATGTGTTTTCTGTCCTTTCTGAGGCATCTTTGGGTCCAAGTTATGGACTTCAAATTAAATGGAAAGTAAACTAAACCTCTGATGACACAATACGCTCGGTTGAGAAAGCTTTACAGATGTTTTAGCCCTGATCTCATCCTTCATGCTAACTGTTGACTGAAACCTTCAGCTCTACAGTGTACTGTCTCCATGTATCTGAAATTCAGATGACTTTCCTGGAGTTCTTTGAAGCCCTGCTGGGTTGTGCAGAGGTGAGCATCCCGAGAGTGACTAGGACCCTGTCCGAGAGCCTCCTGGATGATTGGAAATCAGGGGGCTTGACCAAGGAGCCCCCCAGAGGGGACCGCAGGGAGAGCCCCACTCAGCGTGGCACGCTGCCACCTTCTGCTCAGGTTGGGACCCTTGAAATGGTGCACTCTGCAAGTGATGGACTGAGTTCATCGCATACAATCCAACACTTTATAAGTGTATGTATGATGCTTATTCATTTTTTGTAGCAAAACTCTCCGCACTTTAGCGAGCCTCTGCAAGATGATGCAAAAAGTTATGCTGGTATCGCACAAGCTTCGTCCTGCATGGTTGGGAAAATGCCTGACCTGGACAGAGGAGGACCCTCTGCTGACCTTTAAGGTGTTAACTGCTTTTCACGAGGAATGACAACATGTGGACGAGATGCGTTTGAGAATGTTTATCGGGTCCTTGCTCAAGGCACAGAGACAAATGCCTAAGCCCGCTTGGCCGTGGGCCAGTGGAGGAGAGGGTTAGAACCCCCGCAGAGTGAGGGGTCACCCAAGGGGGAGCTGCACAGGTGAAGATGGGGTGCAGGAGGGGAGCCGGCGATGCAGTGTGAAGAGGGGTCTGCTTACAGTGTACGCACCTTTCAGGAGACGATTCCAGCTGAGAACAGGTGGGGTAAAGTTGACCTGACCTGCTTGTCATTATCCCTCAAGAACCGCCATTTGTTTAGTGAGCAAGAGAGAAACGTTTGGCTCCTGATTTGGGCTGACGGCAGGTTTAAAATCATTTGCCTTCATAACATGACTTGCAGTGTAAGTGTTGGTTAGTGCGGTACTTGTCATCCGCTACAGTAAATACCCTGCTGTCATTCATCCTTTCAGGCCGTCACACAGGACGGGGCACATAAAGAAGACGGCCCAGCTCAGAACGAGCTCCCCCTAAAGTCATCCAGCATCCACGGCACATCTCAATCAAGCGCAGCAAAGAAATCTGAGGTTTGTGAAAGAACGATGCTGGAGGAGCCTGTTCAGAGGATGTAGATTGTATTAAAGAAGGTGTCTGTAATAAGGGGAACTAAAGCATAATACTTTGGAAAGACTGTGGATGCACCTTCAAAGTCATTTATTAAATATTGTATTATTAAAATAATTTTAGCAGAAAAAGGATTTGAACATTCCAAGTTGGAACCGAAAAAAGGTCCATTGTGCTAATAATACTAGGCATATCAATAGGTACTGAAAAAAGCTGAAGCAAGAAGATATTGAGCTTTTGTGTTCTTTTCTCAGGCAAGAAAATCCAAAGAGCTGCTTAAACCGTCCGAGTCTGAAGAAAGAGATCTTAAGCAAAGTGGGAAATCTGTGTCAAACCCTAAAACACAGCCAGGACACCCAGCTGGTAACTTTTTATTATAAGAATTTATAATATAGCCTTCATTTAAGGCCTATCGTACATGCAACTCAGAAATAGAATCACGTTTGCTTATCCTCCAAATCAACTTACTACAAATGTTCTTATTAATTGCTTTGAGACTCTCTTTTAAATAATGAAGATCTATGATTACGTAGTTAACATCAGAGTTCAATTTATACATAGTAAAGGGTGCGTTTAGTCACTGATGGGTTACTTCAGTTAATTCACTGTTTTATGAAGAGCTGACAACGGCAAGTTAAACATCATGCAGATAAATTATTTTTGAGATTTCAGAAATGCACAGTGTAAAACATGAATTATTTCTAAATGAACTGTTATCCCACCAGTGCTTCAAGCTCATTGTTTAGGGACGCTGACTGGTTGTCCGGTTGTCCATGACGTTCTGGTGAGGTGGGCGTGTGGAGTTTATTCTGCAGCTGTTCAGGCTGTGTGTTTGGTCTGTCGAGGTGCGAGCAGCGGTCCGGCCCCCCAGTCCGCGCACTCCCACTCCGCTGGTAGTGGACGGGATGGCATAGGGGGCGCCGCCGAGCTGGTGCGCTCCATGCCTGCCCTGCACCCCGAGCAGCCCAGCTCTCCACCGCAGCATGGCTCAGGTGCACTCCTCTACCCGACCATCTCTAATTCTCACCTTATTGCTGCCTCTGCAAAGTTCGCACACCTGGGCTCCACCAGACTGAAAGCACAGATTCATTCTTGATGCTGCAAGGAGATCCACAGGGAGCTGCATCCTCCAGTGTCCTTCCATTAAGGAATGACTCTTCCTATCTCTATTCCTATCACTTTTAATCACTTCTATTGCAGCAGCTTGTTTTGCATTGATATTGTAAGGAATGTGATTTAGTTCGTACTGCTGACTGAGCGACCCTCTTGACTTGAAATACTGTTTTCACAGTCATTCTGGATGTTCCACAAGAGGGCAGTAAAATGTCATTTGCCATGTGGAAGACGGACTTGGCTCTAGAGGTCACCTGTGGTAGAGGGATCAGAGCAGTCGCATTAAAGGACATGAAGGGACTAACCCCTTTTGTAAGCACTCTTTTCCACGCCTCTAATTTGTTCCAGAGGACGGCGAGGACAGCACCAGTGAGCCGGAGAGCGAGCTCGAGTGCTGGATACAGCAGATGCGCATCTTCTTTACCCAGAAGCTGTTCCCCTCGTACGAGCACAGCCTGCTGGTGAAGAGGGAGGTGGCGGAGGAGCGCGGGCGGCGGGCGGTGCGGGCCAGGATGGCGAAGGCCAGAGTGGAAGAAGCAGCCAGGTCAGAGGGCAGGGCGCTCTTTCAAACCCCTCCCAAGCGCCTCACTTCCCTTTCCAGCCTGCAGCGGCCCATTCATATGCCCCCCCCGTCTGCATAAAACACAGAGCTCAGGCTGGTGTCCGTTCCAAGCATGATAATGTGTCCAATGTAGCCATGCGACAGGCGTGGATAGTCGTTCATTAATGTAAGGTAACCATCAGCAGCCGGCTTGCCGTAGGCCGGAGGCAGCCATGGCCCACCTCAGTGGCATCCGTCTTGTCGATGGCAGGCTGAAGGAGCTGCTGGAGGCGGAAGACGAGAGGCGCCACCGGGAGGAAGAGGAGGAGGAAGAAGGGGACGAGAGGGCCGAGGGCCAGGAGGAAGATGCCAGCCTCACCCCGTCTCCCGTGGCCGTGGCCGTGGCCTCGGCCCCCAGCATCACCAAGCCCTCCCCCAGCAGCGGGAGGCGGAAGAGAAAGTAAAGCGCAGCTCCGGTCAGCTCAGTAGCCTCCCCTTCATTCACAAGCAGCTCTCTTCTGTGGCAAAAACACGTGCACGCAAAGCACACACGGCCCTGCGATCAACAGCATCATGACACTTCTCCATGGACTCAATTTCACTGGACAGCTTCAAACGTTATCCTGAACTGTACGTTATTACAGGTTTTAGAACACAAGGACGCGACAACTTCTTCACGAGCAGTGCCTTAGAGCAGACGTCCCCGAGATGGGAGAGGCCTGGGTGTCTCCGTTTCCCAGTGAGTCAGATGTTCGTGCCGTCATCACAAGCCTCGATGAACAGGGGTCTTAAACCTAATGTCCTGGCTAAATTGCATTCTGGGCCTTCTGCCCCTAAAGCTCTTAACGGGAACACATTACTATGTCAACGATTCTGCTCAAGTCATTTTGGGAGAAATGCTATAGAACTTACGATCTGGTAAATACAACTTTTTGGTTAAATAAGGGGCTATGAGAAAGGTTCATAACCTCACACAAACAAAAAATAAAACACAAAGGAAAAGCAGAATTTCTCATTTTATTGAAAGTACAGGTTGTTGTTTACAAACCAGACATAGATGACATGATGGCATTCCAACGAAAGAGAGACAATTAAAGACTTGATTCAAGAATGACAAGGTTTAGATCCTGCATTTTATAATAAACGTCATTGTGGTCTTAAAAAAATCACACACAGTTCATTGCAATCTATACAAGCCACAAATATATATTTATATATACACGTTTTAAGTTTAATATTTAATTTACAGTAAAATTTTGATATTACAGTTAATTACAGGAATGAAAGCCAATTTACCGGTTAAATAAAAATCTAAAAATTGCATGATGTGAAAAATTACACAAGTGAATAGTTTTTTTACAATGCAATTATTGCATTACAAACTATGCTGTGAGTTACTCAGCATAGGTGACCATTTTAAATAGTGTAGTAGAAACGTAGTCCACCAGTCTTGTTTTAAAAAGAAATCCGCTTCAATCTTGCTTCCTCTTTTTAATCCAAGAAGAAAATATTATTGAATTGTGTGGCGCACAGTCTCTTCACTTCTTCTGCAAATAAATATGGTTAAATTAATCAAAACATCAACTCGATCATCCGTTTCTGAATTTCACAAATGTCGCCTCTGTTAAATTATTCACAGTTCCGTGAAGTGTCTTAAATCTGCATGAACGCGTCTGTAGAGTGCTATCAGATAATGCTAAGAGCTAGTGGCAGCATCTGGTACTAAGCAGAAACTAAACCCTGCTGTGACAGGATTGCAGGTTCTATGCTGAACCTCTGAGTCACAAGGCAAGCCAAACACCAAGGGAGTGCAAACATGCCATGTAAAGACGTCGTCACACACCTGGCTTGAAAAGTTTAGCTTAGCCATAAAGTTGGTTTTGTATTTACAGAATGATAAAACTATAACTTTTTGCAGCTTGGATTCTAGTTGCTCCTGTAACTGTGCTTTAACGGAAGAGTTCTGAGAATACTTTAAAACACTAGAAAAAAAAATGTTTATTTCCCCATATACAAATGACCTTTAAATATTTCAACTGCTCTTCCTTGGATGTGGAGCACAGTACAATTACTTGAGCACTCTGGCATTCGGAGTGTGTCAAAATAGATCAATACAATTTCACAAAAAAAAAAAGTTACTATTACTTACCATTGACTTCAATTAAGTTTGCATTCTTCTGATTCAGAATGACATATAGCTCCCTCTGGTCAGACTTCTTGCCTACAACCCAATAATCAGTCATCGCCTTGACAATAATTTCTTCATCCTCATCAACCCTATAACACAACATAAAAATAATTGTAGTTCCTGTTACAAATCACCATTATAAGGAAACCGATTATTTCTGATAAGCACGAAGCAAGCTGGAGCCCATTGAAAAAGCACATGATGGGTTTACAGACAAGACACCAGCCACCACCACCCATCAAAAGGCACACTCAGACACTAACGCACAGGGACACCCAGTAATGAAGGCAGTCAAAGTTAACTAGCCAGACATCCTAGCCACCCGATGACAACACGCAGACTCCACACATAAGGTTATGATCCCAGGACCCAGGAGCTGTGCTCTTGACTGCAACAGAGACAGCAGCAATCACCCCTATGCCCCCTACCTCCCTGTCATCAACCTGCTAAGGCAACACACCATCCCGTCATCACTTCAAGAGAGAAGAAAGCAGACAACACTTTGCTTCATTATCTTCATAAGCAACAAAGATGTTGGAGACGATTCCATGTGTGATTACCGGGAGAAATCACAGTTAATGTCGCCCAGTATCTTCATGAGGTCGGGGTGGACGGAAGTGAGGGACACGCTGGCTGTTTTGCGCATGTGGATGGTACTCTTCTCCGCGAGATTCATGTGGTTGAAGTAGATGAACTTGAACTGCGGCTCTTTTTCTGGCCTGCAGACAGTGACAAATAACAGCTCAGCAAAGCATATTTCGCATTTCTAATGTTTATTTATTGTACACCGGCTGCAACATTCCCACACTCTGCGACTGAGGATTTTATTCAGTACTGTTAATGGCAGTAATTTTGCACACTGTCTCCAAATCATCTTCAGCATCTGTACTTGCCACCTCTGAGGTTTTAGTCTTATTCACTCTTTTGGCCTCTTTTCATATTTTGAATTTTCTGGAAAGGGAAAAGAAAACCCTTCAATTTGTTTTCTCTTCCCCTACATACTGAAGGGATTTGCAAATTCACTGTGACCAGCAGCATCCACATGGCATGTGATGTGCCTCATGATAGACCAGAAAATTTTGACTGTAAAATCCTGAAAAGTACATCAGGATCTGATTGCAACTTCAGATAAGGCATCGGTTTATTAGTGGGGGAAGAAATCAGTATAAAAAGCAGAAATAAAATCTTTCAGCAAGCATGGGACATGCTGTCTGTCAGTACATAATGAATGAGATCCTATTCCCTTGTTACATTAATTGCTCTAATTCTGATACAGCCGCTGAAAGTTTTATGACATTCACCCTGATCCATGCTATCAAGTGACTTGATCAAACGGGAAAGGAATAGTTATATTAAAAAAAAAAAGCAAACTGAATCAAAACAAACTAAATGCTTCTTGACTCCTATTATGACTTATTACCAACTTCAGCTGCACAGCGCAGGAGTTTGTTTTCTCCTCTATCCTTACGGTAACAGGATGCAGGTTTATCAATTTGTTATCAACGGAAGACGGCTTAGACATTAAAGTTTCAGACAGACCTAATCAGTAAGGCGAGCCTGACACTGCTCTAACTACTAGTTTTAGTGACAATGAAACAAAGGCATTAATAATTGAGCAAATTCTAGGAGCGATCAAGACATTCTGCTAAATTGCGGTGTCTGCACCTCCTCATATCCCAAGCAGCACCCTAATTGAAGTCTGTAACAAAAAGAATTTTAGCAAACATTACTTATTTAGTTTATTCTTCATGAGGATGATACAAAAAACACCCATCAAGTTGTCTTGGAAGTGAGACTGTAGTAACAGCCTGCGAAAAGACAAATTCCTAATGCAAGAAATTGTATATGGGTAATAAAGTGATCTTATCTAATTCTCAGAATGCTTCTAAATCACCTTTATGCAGATAGGATCTAGCTTCCAAAATTTAGGCCCACCCTACATTCACAACAAATCCCAAATCCCAATTTTTGACCACTCAGTCCACAAAGCTGCACAGAGGCTAACTCCACACAAGAGCAGGAATGTTGTCAGGAGAAATAAATTTGCATGTGAACATTAGAACCAGTACAATTCAACAAAACTCTCAGACTGTAAACCACGATGAGTGCATATATGCTTGCGATCGAATGGCACTACTATTCTTAATTGTATATTCCTGAATTCGGAGCATTAGATCCATCAGCTAGATTATGTAGTTGCAAATATAAAGGTTTTCCAAGAAAATTGGAATCCTTAACCCCTTGTATGGAGCGATCTTAACGCGCTTCATGAATCGCAGTAGAAATCTCCTTAATTTCTCTCCAGAGCCCCGACACTGACCCCGATATCCTGCGGTTGACGTTGTACTGCTCGCAGATGTCGGACGCCAGCAGAGTGAGCTGCGGCCCCACCAGGCTGTCCAGCTGCTCACAGAACTCCCTGGTGAGCTCCACGGACGCTGCAGGGGACAGGAACACAGGCGGACACACGGCCATCAGAGAGGCTGACCCACCCCTCCCTCCCCACTGCGCTGTGGCCTGGGACGGCGCCTTCTGGAGCCTCCGCATCGAGAGAAAACCCCAGGGCAGACTGGCCTGTCCCCACTTCCACTCCAGGGAAGACGTTTATTTTAAACTAGACAGGAAATACTGAACTCCGAGTGCGAATCGCTGGGAAGCACATCCTTCACACCCGTACTTATTTCATCCGTTTTGAGGTGATCCTGGGGTTCTGTCCTGGACTTACCACTGATCATGAAGCACACAGCCGCGCTCATGGCCTGCAAGACACAGATGAGAGGCTGCATTAGTGCCCCAAAGGCCTGCAAGTTCCAGAACCTCAAATACTGGAGTAATCTCAAATATTCAGATCCATAAAGAAAGGACCTTTGTTTTCTTAGCTCATCCTAAAGAAAATCCTGCCTCATATCGGTCCATCAGCTCCTTTTTATAAGAGAAAAAAAGCAGTCTGGCTGAAGATTGTGAAGGCTGAACTTTTGCTGGGCATAATTGTGCAGTGTTGCAGAAAATACCCACCTTTATTCACACTAGAAGTGGAGCTGACTAAATTTGCTTTTCCTCAACAGCCTGGTGAGTTTTAAACAATGAAAGTAACTCATGAAAATAAACTCGGTGAAAACACAGTGAAAGGTCGAGTACATTCCAGCAGTAGAAAAACACTGGCTTAATCAAATCAATCCTCTCACTGTCTTGCTCCAGCTTTGCTTATGTTAGGGCCTTTAGCACTGAAAGGCTAATCTCTAATCTTTATTTACCATTCCAATGACCTAATAAACTTTAAACAGTCTTAAGAAAAGCTGATTAGCAGTCAAACCTCCTAACAAGGAACTGTGCCAAATTTATCAGTGCTCATAACCAGGATGCTGAATGTGTAACACCAGACAAGTCTGTGTTTTAACTTTGTAAGATATCTGTAATCTCTTAATGTTACACTTGTCAGAACAGCACTTTTAAAAAATATGCTAGTTGTTTCTATATCCTGAAACATACCTGCTTTTTACTGAAATTGTCACTAACCAGCGATCCAATTTTTAAAATTTATGTGAAATGTGGGCAAAATTGCTTAGATCCCCTCTGGTGCAGAAAATTCAGGGTGTTAAGGTCCTTCTCACCTTGTAGACGATTAAGTGGAGTTCTTCGTAACCATCCTCTGCGGTAACAAATATTTTGGGGAATCTGAATTTCGCTTCAGGATCTTTTAAGTTGGGTGGTCCTGTCAGAAATCTACAAATGCAATTAAGGACAGAGGGGAAAAAAAACTCATAACCTGCAAGTGGAGATATGAAATACAAAGAACAGTGATCATGAAATGAATCGCTTTGCTTTTAAAACAGCTATCTGCACTGAAACAAGCTCACATTTCACGTTGAAAGTCTAGTCTAATTAGTGCTTATTTGCATAATATATTGCAATTTGGAACAGAAATTTTGCACAACATAGTTGAATCACATCTATTTTGAACTGATGGGTGTATAGAATGTGCTTCACCTTTTGGACTAGACTTTCAACGTGAAATGTGACCTTTTCTAGTGAAGATAACCGTTTTATACACGGTTCAATGCTGGAAGATTAAGCCCCCAATCCAGGCTTTTTAAACAGGATCTCCTCCAATTCTGCCGTGAAGCCTTCCACACCACACCAGCAGGATACAGCCCACATGTGGCTGCGTTTTCACATGTTTTCAGTTCACACTGGTTCCCAGTTCTCCTTCACAGTGCTTCTCCTGATCTCCAAGACCGATGGTTTGCTGCCTCAGTGGCCGACAGTTCACCATACAAGGGAAGGTGCAAGAGATACTGTACCTTCCGTAGTGCAGCAGGTTTCCAGCCATTTCTGGCCTCATGGGGGAGTCTCTTCCAGCCAGCTGGGACCAAAACACAAGCAGATCTGCATTACAGAGATTGTACTGCCTGCCGTTTCTAAATCCCACTGATCAAATCCGGCGTGGCCTGCCCAGGTCTGCCAGGGCTGGCCACTCTCTCATCACTACAGGGACCACCAGCAGCATGTGGTTTTTAACAGGTGTGTAATTCAAGCCTTCCTCCATACCATACCATACCCCCCCACCCCCACCCCAGGTTGGGTTTAATCGCAGGTGAAGGGACGCCCCCGGAAAGAACAGCTAGGAGGCTCACCTCTGGCTCCAGGTGTCTGGGGAACAACGAAGTTGTCAGGTACTTATACAAGATCCGCATGTCATCCTGTTCCAGCCCACTCCTGATCGCAAGCAAACAGGAATAAAAATGCTTTAGTACATCTTTTATCAGTGGTAGGCACCCCTGGGCCACCATGGGAACCTTTGAATTGGATCCATGATCGTTTCTTATCCTCTCAATTGGTTGGATTAAGCCACTAAGGTCCGAGATGGAATGCGAGCCAGAAGCAAACTCATGAATCAGGGTTGTCATATATTAACACAAAGGTTTATCGGCCTCGTGTGCAGCACGGTGTGAGGTGTTCTGTAAGGAGTCTGCATGATCTCCCCGTGTGCTACCCAGGATGTAGTGTCACTGTGGGCTCTCTCCTTCCACGACTGATTTAAGGTCTGCAGGGCAAAGACAGGGAGCAACTGTCTCCTTTATACTGACCTGAGTTACTGTATTGGAAGTAAACTTCAAGGTTCTGTTTTACAATCAGGGAGAAACAACTGCCCATCTCTTCTTACTCTGACTTCATAAACACAAATCAAAATCAGAAATCTCTCCAGACAGCTCGGCTTTCTTATGTTGTGAAATGGGGAGAGCTAATTAATATTCACCTTCCCATAATTTATTGCTTGTGCTTACAAGACAACATAATCCTGGCTAGCACTTATGAGATGCTGCATGTGTATATAGGTTTGGAAATGTAGAAGGCTCACACATCAAGGGCTTCCTGTATTTAAAACTGAGGGGTGTCTTAGGTTCAAAGGCTTCCAAATAAAAGAAAAATTTACTGGAGGTGTCATCTAATCTTCCCAGGCTTATGTTTCAGATCCATTATTTTATACGGATACTGAACTAAACAAAAGGCATCACAATAACAAAGCTTGTTATTTGAGAGCTGACCAGAGCATCATGGTGCTGTAACTAGGTCTGGCACACGTAACCGATACACTGTAAAACACCTACAGTATGGCATCACCTCCTGCTGTATCACACAGAGCTGCACAACCCTGATATACAGGGAAAACATAGTGATGTAAAGTAATCAATTACATTTGTGACTGAACCCCACAAAAAACAATTAAACAACCCACTGCTGAAAGCAACAGAGATAAAGCAAAGCCTATTAAAACTGGATTTTCACAAGCAAGGGAGGAAGATAGAGGGAACTGCAGGCCCTGCTGAGTTTTTAAAAACAGATTTTGTATTATTTTGTTTTAAAACGGTAATCTAGCAAGAGGTGACTGAAGTGCTCTGTGCTAACATAAGGGGATAATTCAGACCGTTTTTGCACTGCAATGCTTGAAAAACACATCAAGCCTAACGGGGCCTCTGTACTTGCTGGCGCTGGCATACATGTGCACTGCAGTACGCATGCAAACATACAGGCAACACTGCATACACAGGCTTGCACTGACACTGGAGAAGTAGGGTGTAGAAGGCCTTAAATGACAAGCGGGAACCCATCATCTATTTCTGTCCTCTCTCAGGAGCCCTGGGTCTACTGGAAGGCTGTGTGCCAGGGGCAGCTGTGACACTTCAGTAATTGCCGCAACAATTACCCACAGCTGAGACGCCCTGGGTGGGTTTCAATTACAGCGATTCGGCATCATCTGCGCGTCTATTTTTCAGGCGCTAAATATTATATGGTGCTTGTCTTCTCCGGCACGCATTTCAGAGATAGACTGGAGAGAAAATCATCATCATCGCCATCAAGATGGGTAATTCGACTCGGGCAGCACTGAAGGAGGCCGGGGAAGCTCGGCCCAGCCCGCCTGACACCACCGCAACAACACTCCAACACACTGGCTGGGAGCCACCACCTGCCAGACTGCCAACGATGTATAGTAAACCTCCATCTTCTTTTTAATTCACGCCAAAAGAAAATGCATGAATTAGAGGTTTACTATACATTGAGTTTTTTTTCCAGTCTTTGGTCACCTGCTTAAAACATGTTCCATGCACTGTACCATCTTCTGTTTCTCGTGCCAGATATTTAGGAGCACCTTCAAAATTTTGAGTTACACACAAAATATGCAGTATAAAAAGGGGCATTATTCCCCATAGACTAATGTGTTCATATGGTCTTGGTCTCCTACGCTGTACAGGTTTCTGAACCTTTACATGTGAGTGTTTGTCTTTTTTTAATTGCTATTTCTATATAGTTGGCTTGGAGCTGAATATTGCCATTGTGCAACTTTTTGGAGACTCTCCAGGCTGCTGGAGACTCCTTCAGTTGCAAAGGCACTTTTTTCCTATTAAAATAATGAGAAATCGAGGAAGGAAGGCAGCCTGTCTTATCAAATGTGAGCACGCTGGATTTAAATAATGGCTTCAAACAAGCATGACACACTGTGAGATTATAAGAGTTAAAAAAGGAGGCAGGGAGCAAATTATAAAAATAGAAAGCAGATTACTGTGTGCATTTACTGAAAAGAGGCTGCGGGCCAGACAAAAATACTGCAGACCTAATTGGATTTCTCTCTCCTCTCTCCAGCCAGGGACTGCTCACCTGTGGGCCTGTTGGCAGAGGCTAACTGATTTAAAAGTGGCTGACAAGCATGCAGCTATTTTCACAGGCTAGCTACAATGTGGCGTGCTCCATCCTGACACCCAGTAAGGATTCTGTCCGTGACTGGGCTTGCTGCACTCAGAGTTCAAGCACCCCTAAATCAGAAACCCTGAAAGGAAGGGGATCCCTGTATGTTGGTATATTAGTAATAATAGTATTACAGGGACAGAATTCACAAACCCTTTCCCCACTCCTAAGGGCAATCAGCGGGATAGTAGAAAGAGTGTTATGGATATAAAAACAGGTTAAACAGCATAAGCACACACTTTCAAAGGCTACAGATTATAAAAACATTTGAATGAAAATAGAAAGTGTTTTACCTAACATTCGTTTCTGGTATCCAAATTTTTGTTTGTTTTTTTTTTACTTCTACAGTGAATATTACCGTGCCATTATCTGCATTTTGTTCTTATGCACTTGTATCCCCCCCTGCCGTGATCAGAGTGTGTGCGTGCACTGCGCGTCCGGGCCATACCAGATCAGCTGGTCATTGTAGAGGAAGGCCGTGTACTTGATCAGGCTGTGGTTCTCCTCCACTTGATTCACAAATGACTGGATCTTCAGGTAGGTCATCTTGTCCAGGGGGAAAAAGCTAATTCCCCCGAAGACATCCAGCAGGTCACAGGACTGGAGGTGCAGCGTCTGCAGATACTGTGCAGGGAGGAGAGCAGAAAACCGCTTCAGCCTCTTTGCCTCTTCACAGAGACGAGACTTACAGCAAGAGAACGGGAAACAACAAAGGAAAACTCTTTGTATTATTTAAGACGATTCATCCATCGCTCAGATTTAGAAACGGCTTTTCGTGCTTCTATTTTTGGGGACAGGAGATGCCAGTGCTAAAACAGCATCTGCACGAGAGCTCGGCCATTACGGGCAGGGCAGATGTCACAGCTTTCTGAGAAGCCCCAGGGCTCGCTGGCCCGTAAGCAGGCTGTGCACCCACTGGCCAGCTGGAGCTCACCCAACCCCAGTGCTGCTGGACCAGCTACACACCATCACCCGGCCCCGGGGAGATGACGACACTCCACAGCAGAACTGGAAACCGGCAGACTTCCTCGGGCAAACCCCGACATTCGGGATTTTGACCTCCGTGGCCCGCTTTTAAACGCAAGTACCCACATGCCAAAAAAACGGAGTTCGCACTAAAACTGCTTCTTAGCTGTAACCTCCCCTCTCACTCATATTTCATTAATCATACTGGTGAAACGGGTTACAGAAAGCATATTTTCTTAAAATTTTCAAAACACTGTCCTGCTGGGCCATGACCAGTGAAATGTTTAAATATGGGCTCAGAAACTCATTCTGCGTTGTCGTGTAGTGGCAGAGGCTTGCTCTGAAGTCAGGTCCGTGACGCGTGGCTTTTCCGACCCGTCTCATGAGGCAGAGCTAAAACTGCACCAGCACAAAGAGCTCCTACTCTGGGCGCCGGCTGTAAAGACATTCTGGACACCATCCTACCCGGTAGAAGAAGGTTTCAAGCTTCTGTTTGAGAAGCTCCACTCCTCCAGCCTCCATTGCTCTTGAGAAGGTGCCGTTGAAGAGCTGCAAACAGAACAGATCCCTTTAGGAACGAGCTTTGCTTGTTAAACACACAGCAGGCGTTTGATACTTAAAAAGGAAAAAGGTGTCAAGAGGTGAAAATGACAAAATGGCCATCTTTTCTAAAGGAAGATTCTGTTAACTCTTGCACTCATGTTTCCAATGGTAATCTGAATGAAGACTCTGGCATATAGGTCAAGAAGCCTTAGGTACAGGCGGCCAAACCATGGTAAATTGATTAAATCCTTATGTCTTTCATAATGGGCAATCAGTGTCCATGAATCTCACCTTGTACATATTATAGCACTGCTGCAGTACTGCTCCATACACCGTATCCTAGAAGCAATCACAAGACAAGTTAGCCAGCCTCCGACATGATTTCACTCAGGCTTTTAAAAACCCAAAACAATACCCCCCACCAAAAACGAACATTATATACACGTAGATGCAAACGCCAAGGAAGGAAAAAGAAGAAAAAACAACTTGCATTCAAAATCCCTTATAATAGGAAAATGTAAAGCTTTTATTAATGTAACAATCAATTGATAGTTAATACTGCCAGAGCAAGGTTTTTTTATTTCCCTTCTTTTAAGTCATAAGCATGAGCAGAGGACATTTACCAACCTACGGGTGGAAACCTGTTAATGCTTTCTTTTTGTCAAGGGCAATCTGACAGGCACAACTATAATTGTATTAAATAAAGGAAACTCAAGGGTCCCATCCCGTGCTGCAGAAGACACAGGTGGCCAACAGAAGTCCTTACGATTATTTCTTCTTCGTGATATTCTACAGTAGGTTTGCCCTCCCTGTTGGTTTTTTCAGTCATCGGGTTTCGCACCACCTGGACACAATCACAAAGGGAGGATGGGTCAGCAGTAGGATCAGGTTCAAGGCTCCTGCAAGTGACACTACCATTGGAAAAAAAAAGCACAGAACTGCAAATTTGGAGCTGCAAAATGCTGTATCGACTCAATGACGGATGCAGCTAGTATAAAGCAAGTAACTTCGATGCACCTCAGTCCTCTGCTGCCTGTACCTCGTTCCCACAGCACCCATGAGAGCTCCAGGAAACAGGTAACAGTGCAGACTCGCAGGCGCCTGGCAAACTGAGGACTCCCAGATCTTTGCTCGCTTTTTATACAGATTTTTAAGACTCCAATCTAATAACTACGACAACAGATGCAGTTAATACAGCTGCCTACAGTGTCAAAACCAAGATTTATTACTGAGGTTAATTTAACAGCATGTTGAAAGAATACCATAACCATCCAGAAGTTCTCCTCTGGTTCAAAGAAAAACTGCCTGTTCTTCTGGGTGTGCAGAGACTTGGCAGGCTTCGTTGGACAGAAGGTTCTGTGAAATGAAAAGATGAACATTAATCATTTAACTTAGTGAAACTGGACAGAACAGGGAGAACATCCCTGAAAAGCATGTCGTACAGTCTTTTAGACAATTGGGACTGAAGCGTCTCATTTTAAATGTAAATTAATATAATTTACCTATTTTGCCTGTGCATGTCAAATTTTGTCAAAAACTGAAGTCAGGTGTTCGCTGAAGCTCAATATAATAAATTCTCAGTCATTTGCATTACAGAGCTAAATTCAAGCTTTATGTTGTAGCCATGTGTAATTTCCACACATTTATTTTAACACTAATTATTGGAAAAGACTGCCTCTGCTTAGCAACAGTACATTACCTAGTAAACTGTACAATAGCTTCACACAGCCCGACATTGCGGATTTTTTCATTTTTTTCCACTTCATTTGGGTGGTAAAAGAGTATTTTCTTTTCTTCCTGCAAAAGAACAGGAAACGTGAAGAATTATGCCACTACATTCACAAGATTTGGAACCACAATAAATCCTTCTGGGCAGCTGGTCCATCTCACTGGGAAATTGCCCTGGGAGATTACTCAGACAAAGACTTCCCACAACATCCAAAACTAATCTTAAAATCCTCCGCAAATGTCCTTTTGTGACTGCTTGAGATTAAGAGCTTGTGAATGTGATGGAAAAGATTAAATTGCGATGCACTCCAAAACCAAATCAGACATTGCACAAAGAAAATTGGTCCTCACCTCTCCCTCCCGTGGTCCAAACTTTGGGTTGTAAACAAAAAAGTTCAGCAGGGTTGGAGCGTACTGCTTCTCCTGGATTGCTGTGGCCATTCTGGGACTGGAAAGATGGGGGGACAGAGGTGACCTCACGAAGGACAATCTGAACAGCTCCGTTTGCTAAATATCTCTGTGCTCTATTCGTGATCATGAGATGAGATAAGACCACATTATTAGCCCTATACAATTTCTTGCATTAGGAATTTGTCTTTTCGCATACCCCAGCTTGCTCTCCATGAGACACGTAAGCACACAGATAGGGAAAGAGAAGCTTGGGGTCAGAGTGCAGGGTCAGCAATTTATACGGCGCCCCTGGAGCAGTTGGGGTGAAGGGCCTTGCTCAGGGGCCCAATGGAGTAGGATTCCTCTGCCGGCCGCGGGATTTGAACCAGCAACCTTCCAGCCACAGGCGCAGGTCCACAGCCATGTCATGACATGACAGGAGTTGTGGACGTTGTGTTATTCACTCTGATTTATTGCCAGATTCCTCAAGTTCAAACAGTAAGAAACTGGTGATCATCTTACCTGATCATCAGCATTAGTGTGATTTTCCTCTGAACTGCTTCCTTGTGGTAATCTGCGCGGGCATGCCTTGTTTCTCTGGACACGAAAACCCCAGAACACAAGTCAAAGAATAACACCTAAACACTATACCACATGTAAACAGGAGGAGAGATAAGGGTTATGACAGCTCTGATGTTGCTGGACTGTAATGAAACAAAAATATTTTCCAACTCCACAATGGTTGCATATATGTCAGAGACTATCGGTTTAAACTAAAAATGCCTTTTCTAATGAATAAGGTTCTGTGGGTTAGTTCTGTTTTATACTTACATGCCAGAATCAGCACCAGGCAACAGCTGCCGACCAGCGAACACATTGTTAAATATGCATATATTCACAATACAATCGGATAGTTCTCAAGTTGCCTCTCGGCAGTTCAAGAGCGCTTGAGAGCTTTTAACCAGAGCATGTGACTGGCGGACGAACTTCATAACGCACAATCTGGCACTGTTAAATCACATTTCCCGGATAAAGACACATTAATCACCGTATCGTAGACTCTTTCAGCCTTATTATTAAGAACTGTGATTTATGTAAGGTTTATGAAAGCACGAGGGGTCTGCATGAACATGAAATCCACTGAGGAGAGTGTTTCTGTGGAAACAGGCGAGCTCTATAGCCAAGGGGAAACCTACCCAGAGCAGCCCACAACCAAAGTAAACAGATCGCTTTTAACCACAGTCTGCATCTGTCTATGAAAGGAGACTATAAAAAGATCGCTCACATTTCGCTGATTTTTACAAGTCAGAAAACGGTCAGACTTCTGCTTTAAACAAGACAACAGCCCCAGTGAAGGAAATGTGAAACTCCCAACAGGGGTGTTGGTTTGTTAACGTAAGTGTTTAGGAAAATAAAATCATTTGTTTTACTCAGTTTAAGTCCAGGAAGAAGTACCGGATGAAAATCAGTATTTTTCTGCTGGAATATCCACATTTATCCTCTGTTGCGCTCTGTTTCATTTGGCACATTCATAACACACTACTTTTGTTCGTTTTGTGCTGAACAGCTCAGGCATATTGCCTACAGTAACAAAAGAAATCACTTTAAAAAAAAAAACTTACCTACCACCACGTATCACGTAAGCAAACCGGGCTGTGCTTTTTAAATTACAAATCATGCAAGAAAAACACACATCCTTCCTGTTTTTTGACAGCAGACCACCTGAGTACGGCTCTTTAATGTGGTCGGATATTCGCGTGAACCTCGGAAGAAAGGTTCCGACGGAGTGCAGAGAGTTCATGATCGTATGTTTCTCATGTAATAAACAACTGAAAATTTCAACTACCCTATTCATTTCAATATGGATATTGATTTTCTTCTCAAAATATCGCTACATCCATCTAAAACATATTCCCTTTATGTATTGAAACGGAGCTATTATGTGTTTGCTGTACTGTTCTGATAGTCGCGTCGCATACGAGCACGGCAAGTATGTTTCACTGAAACGTACAGTAAATTTACATCACATGGGTTTATTCCATACGTGTGGTATTTTTAAAATTATTTTTGAATTGCTCAAAGCGTTTCGTTTCTAATCTTTAGGACTTCTCATTCACAATTAATCAAACACCTTGTATGAAGAAAACGTGATGCCACACAGGTGTTGCAGATGGCCTGTACATTTTCCCATCAGAACCTCTTTTCTAAAATGGTGGAAAGGCAGTGACAGCCGAGACACAGAAACAACAAGTATTTTATCCCTTCTCATATATTTATTTTGAAATTAGACTTAATTTTCCAAAGGTGAAGTTACTGGTACACCCATGCTGTTAGTAAGAAGCGATGTTGTAACGTGTTCTAGCAGCACAGTCCCCCTGCTGAGGCGGTTGCCTTTATCAGAAAGAAAAATTAGAAAGAAATCCATCTTAATACCTGTTGCTCAACGCAAACTCAGTGTTGCAATCGACATTCAGAAGGGTTGCAGACAGACACCCAGCCATTTATACATTACTATCCGCTCGTCGCATAATGAAATGCACGGCCTTCTGCGCACCTGGAGAACCGACGGAGGGGGGTCAGTGATTTTGCATGTGCAGACTTTTTACAGTAATAAACAAGGATGACAGGTGGGGAAACTACCAGCCGCCTCGTACTTTCATTCCCTTCGCTCTCATTGTGAAGCAGAAACCCGAGCCCGGGCCCCGGCATCGGGTGGTTCTCAGGATTGTAACCGCACCGCCGCGCCTTTTGTCCGGCTTCTGTGTCGCCCCTGCGCCAGCTTTAAATCTTTAACATCATTCGCTTCAGAACCTCTTTCGCAAGCTCAGAAGCGGAGGTGGGTTTCCTTTTAAATTATTTACGCTTTGTCTGTTTGTTTTTCTTGAAGGCGAGGTTATGTTTGTTGTGTGTGTGTGTGTTTGTTTTACTGATTAAAGAAAGCCCGTACAGGGTCTCGGTGCCACGTAAAACAAACAACAACAACAAAACCTTCAGTATAGAAGGTGTTGCGCTAATGCACGGCTCCTGCCAGTCAAGACCGCACTTGAGCCTTTGTGAACGCATGGTGCAAACTGATCAACTCGGCGGCTTTAATAACTAATGGGCTCCCAGGCAAGAATCCACAGTCACGCTTAGTCCCTTCGTCTGCCATCAGTTTAGATCAGGAACTCCTTGGAGCGCAGGAGTGACGCAGGGGGTGGGAATGCGGGGCACACCGCTTCACCTCGTCGTTTCCGCTTCGGCCCCTTGGTCGTGTCTGAAGAGCCGGGGAATGACACTGTTTAAAAAGTCTGTCTCAATAAGGACCACCCCTTGAAATTAGTGATCGATGTTGGTAAATACCAGAAGTACATGACATTGCCATTTCTTTCCACTGTCGTCATCCATCCATTTCCCAACCACTTGATCTAATTCAGGGTCGGAGTCTATGCTGGCTAGCAACGGGCTTAAGGGCGGGTAAACCGCGGCCGGGACACCAGTCCATCGAGTGGCAGTGCCATCATATTCGCGTCAGCCCAGAGGCTTGGCGTTTGTTTCACAGGGGGAAAGTGATGCTCTGCAGGCGAAGCAGAGTACAAGTATCAGGTTTCAGCCAGTCATCCAGACGGACGGGATGAACCTGACTTTTCCAAACCCCAGGAAAGTAACTTCAGAAAAATCAGAAGAACAAAGCCAGCGTCTCGCCTGCGCTCTGCCTCTTCCGCTGGACTGCTCCAGTCTCTCGTCACTTCATGACACTGCTTGACACAAAACTGGAAGGTGACCCGTGTTTCTGGGATAAAGGGAAATATTTCTGTTTGAGGGCAGCTCAACGGACAATAAATCAGGAGGACTGTGAGGCTAGCCCTCAGAAATGGTTTTTTAAAAAATCATATATTTTTTTATATTTTTTTACCCCGTTCCAGAATTCCGTTCGGGGTCAGGGAGGATCTGCAAACAAATACGGAAAGTGCCCTTTGTGTGCCAGTCTGTCCTTTCCAAGGGTTGCGAGATAG